ATCGATTATCAATTTTTTGTTCAACCAAATGCTTTTGGCATTCGCATTTACATTGTAGACGCATAAAGCGGAGCTATCTACTCGCTGAAATCAGAAGCAGTAGATGACGAACGTCTTCACAGCTCGCGTGTCAGCGGACAAAAGCATTGCGATTTCGAATGGATTTAGGAAATTTTAGGTACCTATTTTTAATCAAGAAATAACAGCAGATTAAAAAAATATACAAAAATCGTATCATATACTAAAGCCACCCACTAGGGTACTATCAATAAAATTTTCATTCGACATACAACAGGTACTACAAAAATGTCAGGAATAATAATAAATATCATAATACAATATTATATACAGCTTATCGATTTTAAAGAAGACCTTATCGGTTTCCAATACATCCTTACCCTAAACCATTTACATCGACCTCTCCTAACTAAAATAGTCTACACTTATTTTAACCCCACCTCAAATAAATTAAATATAAAATTATATCGACGGCCTTACCGAAAACCCTTCGTATAACAAAAAAATACCACACAATTCTACCTAGGTGTTCAAATCCAATTCTTTATTAAAATATCAATAACATATAATTTCATTTATTATAGTTGTTTAATAATATAATTCCAAGAAAATTTCGAATCAATATATTAAAATCGATTAATATTCCATCCGAATATAAATTCCATTATAAAAAAGATATTATTTCTAAAAGATTAATTTTATAATTTTAATAATGAATTTATTGATTATATAATTTATATATAATTCAATTTTATTGATTTTATTATGTTCTTGGATCAATTATTCAGAGCAATGTATGGTATGTCTGGCATCGAAGCCTTCCCAGAATTGAGTATAAGGACACCATATATCATATGGGATGTCTTTTCATTATTTAATATGTCTTTTATGCCTTGATTTTGTTTGTTCCTTATAGAACGTCTTTCTCCCTGGTTTATTGTCCCAAATGTACAATGGATCTTGAGAATTAGTGTGTTACGTAAAGTAGCGCCAAGAAATAGCAGATTCTTGAGCCTCTGCAGCCTCTGCGTCCACCACATTGGCACCTCTGGCAGTCGCAGGTGATTGGAACGATGAGTTGACCACAAGTTTGCAAATGTTGCGCATGTGATGTTGCCGCCAGCAACACATGCCAAAAGCAAGTGGCAGGGAGGTGAGCTCCAACAAAATTTGACGACAGTTTCAGTGAACTCCCACATCGCCAAGAAAGCAAACAGCATATCTGCGGATTGCGATTTGACATGAAAAGCCAAATGGACTGCTAGGATTGGAAAAACACGTCGTTTAATACTCGGTTTTGCGACACTGAGTGACTCGACTCGCACGAGTCAAAACTGCATCACCTCACTCTTGGTGGGATTGAAGTTGTTGTGTCATAAATTGTAAAACTTAACTCACAAACATGTGAACCACTTGGTGATGTGCCTTAACATGTCTCAACTCACGACATCTATACTCTCTGATGGCGCCTGCCGCCGTGTCAGCAAGTGCAGGTGCCTTGTTTGCCAGAGATGTGAGGGATGATCAAAATTGACTGCCTCCCCAAAGGACATTGGATGTTCTGGTGAGCAACCAGGTTTGGGGTCGCGTCCGTTCACCAACCACATGGGTCTTTGGATCAGCCAGTGCTGTCCAGTGCTGTTGCCAATTCTCTCCGCATCAGCCGCATCATGGTCGGCCTCCCAGAGTCCAGCTCGAGCCTCGCCCATGCGAGAGCCTGGACATCACTCAGCACGAGTGTTCGCTTCAGATGGTTTTGGTTTGGGAAGCTGGAAGGCAGAGAGGCCAGGCAAATATAAGGCATTGCCATAGATTCCTTGCACAATCCACCAAGGCATGCCTAAAGGTCGCAAAGGAGTTTCCAAAAACCAGTGCTGCGGAATGGCCAATGCGACCAGCACTGGTCCAGCCTTGACTACCTTGGCGACGGGGGCCACGCATCTCTGAACCTCGGCTTTTGAGAGGATGAAAGCTATCGCATCTGCACGAAAGCTATTGAAGGTTATGGACCCTTTTATATGATCTGGTACATCTATCTATCTCTGCACATATATATATATATGAAACACACGGACTGGCAGTTCAAGTGCTGAATACATTGTGTTGGCCATGTATGTCGCTGTCAAATGCTGTCAGTCCATTCAATTTTCTTCGAACCAACGCATGCCCAAGCACCATCAGTCTCGCCCCTTGACCCTTAATTGCAGTATTTTAGGGCAAGACCAACCCAACAAAAGCAACTCCAAACAAAGGACACAAGCAAAACATGGCATTGCAACCGTTGCTGTACGCAACGATGGATCCGGAATGCCAGGCTGAGAATCAGGCGCCAAAGCTTCATCAAGCCGGACTTATCTGAGGCAAAGGCACCAAATGATGTGAGAGGGAGTGCAACTTGATAAGCTTACGGTGCGATATTCAGAAGGCGCCGAAAAGACACTACATTCACCTTTGTGAACTTCCAAAAATGTATGAAAGGGCATGACCGAGCTTCAAATAACCTCGTGATTTCAGACTCATGTCAGTCCCGTATTCTGCCAGTGAAGTCATAGCTTGTGTGCAGGTCAGTGCCTGTTGTAGGTCTGAGACCATACAAAAGAAGCGTGTAGACGACCAGCAGCAATGCCTCACGAAACCAGGTGCACTTCGTTGCTGCACATGCTTTACATGCTCCGCCAAGGCTAGCTTAGAGGAAAATCTTCAGAAAGGGATGCAAATTGCATGGGTCTTTGACATACCAAAATTCGGTGTGACAAGCCAAAAAAAGGACATTGCAATCTGATTTCAATAAGAGGTGCCACTTTCATCCACTTTCAGCCTCGCCAATGCCCAGCAGCAACCAATCTGTGCTCTCATCTATCACGGTCAGGCGCAACCACGCTAAAATCTGAGCAGAGCTGAGCAATTATATCTTCTCCAATCGAATTTGGAAGGAGAACAGCATAAAGTAAATTGCATTTATATGAGGGGAATCCGCATCCTTGAGAACAAGTTGATGGCTGTGCATTGTGGGTCAAAATGCTTTCGCGTCAAACTTCCCTGCTGACATGTCGACATTTCTGGGTATTCTAGTTGCCTCTCTTTGTTTTATGGCAAAGGTCAGTGATCTAGGGCTTCTGGCAGAATGATTGCTGAGATTGCATATGTGCTGCTGATGGTTGTTTGCTCAGCAATGCAGACTGACCACATGTCCATCTGAGACCCGTGCGCTAGGTCGCAAAAGCATCAAGTAGAAGGCAAACCGGAAGCGAAAGTAGGCCTGTACCGCAAGCGAAAGTAGGCTTTGAAGCGTGAACTGAACCGAACCGGAAGAGAATCAAGGTGGTGTGACTTTGACAGCAACAAGTCATGCAACTGTCATGGACAATTGCATCGATGCCTGTTGTTTCCGGTACATGAGGATCGTCGTTGGTGAGAAATGGCTCTCCTGGCTCAAACCCAGCTGCAACTACTAGTAGCTTAGCTACAAATCACATGTTCAATCTGTTGACCAAGCTGTCTACAGCACTCACTGCTATTATTTGGTCCCCTAGGATATGCTTTTTGTTGACCCCATTTGGATTCCTTTGTTGCTGGCAGAATATCTGGGAAGAGTATATTCTGACTTTTGACACTCTCACATATGATTGCTCTGTTGATTGAGACTACAGTGAAGCTTCTGCATCTTCTGCCATGTTGGCAGGTTCACACTAATTAGTAAACTTGATGCACGCAAACAAAATTCTGGAGATGTTTGATATTAAACAAATCCTATCCTGGACAAGCACGGCCAAGTGCGCACATAAGTGCACACGTCCTGTCTGAGCAACCAAAAAAAACATGTATACCTACCAGGCAAGTTCACTTTGAGTGTCGGTGCACGTCATTGGAGAAAGCCCTCTGAGTCCCCACACGTACAAACCCATGGCCTCAGCACTGAGGCAAAATCGGACCTGTCAAAGGAGTCCTACCTGCTGCTGGTCTACATGTATGGTGGTTCCCAGCTACTGGCACGGTTTTGGGGGCTCCTAGATCCACTTGGCAAACATAATGAAGTGCTGAGGTTCTCCCGTTGTTGATAGAACATATGAGGGGGAACCTGGAGGAGATGGCGTATAGGATAATTTGTTAACGGATGTGTGTCCCTGCGGGACGCGCTGTTTTTGGACTATCAAACCAGGTAATTACTAATGATGCAATCACATTTTAGCAAGCAGGATAAACCTTCTATTCTGGAGTGAGCCTTGTCCAAACGGCCGACAACTTACTGCTCTCTGCGCGAAGGGATGAAGGTTCAAACTGAGCTGGGTAAATGATTCTTTGGCACTGCAGTGCAGTCACCCAAAGTTCAAGTACTTCCTTCCATTGGCAATGCTTTCCTTTTGATGACTCGACTCTACGAGCTAAGCTCAGATTCACATGCACCAGTTGAGACACTCTCAATTGACAGTCTCCCTAGCCAAAGATCCTCTCAATGAACTCGAACGTTCTCAACAAGATTCATCTCCGCGTCAGAACAATAGATTCATTCAATAGAAAGGCGGGATTCAAGTTCCAGTCGAAACCATATACAGTATTATACAGTGATTTTGTACGGAGCAGCCAAGGTTTGCTGGCAGAGGTGCTCTTCAAGAATCTCTGATGACAAATTCTCGTTGTCCTTGCTAAGGAGCTGGCCAGGATCTGCAAGTTTTGATTCACAGTCAAAATCACGCTGAGGTAAATGATCATCTGCGCAGCAAATCGCAGCTATTGAGAGTCTCGCATATCTATTCTCCTTTAAGGACTGAAGTAGATTCTCTGATTGCTGCTGTCAAAGGAGGAGTTCAGCTGGTATGTACCTATCCAGCATGTGTGACGAATGCATCTAAGCTTTGTGTTTGACTTTGACGCTCCGGTGATGAACAGTGCTGATTGGAAGGCGCATTTTGTTTCGTTTATCTTTTCAAGCTAGTATCTTGCCCGCGAGTCTTTGGCGGATCGGAGTACCTTCAGAAGCAGGTAAGAGGTAGTCAAGAATCTGGAGTCAAAGGGAGATGCCATAAAGCTTCAAAGCATGTATTACTGCATGTATTGACAACTACAGCCAGATCCAAAAAGGTCCTAGTCGACTTCATTTGTCATGAAAGTTGACAGTGCCACTACCACCAAAAAACCCAACAATACATTAAACTCTCACCTTCTCCTTTGCGGTTTGCAAATCAAGAAACACTGTTGTGCTATAAAAAGAAATGCAAAAGCCGAAACATGGCAGCTCAAGGCACTACCCAAATGGACGCAGTCAATACAGTCTCCAAACTTTCAACGCAAAAGCTGCCAACGCTCTTCGGTCAAAGCTGCCAACGCACGGTACCTCTCATGGTTTTGGAGGAACTCGCCGGCTGTGATGCCTGGGAGTTTGAACTTGCCGAACTCCTGGTGATGGGGTAGACTTAGCCGGCCTATGGCCAAGGTAATGCGTTTTGATGTTCACCAAAACAGCAATGTGTCTGCATACTTTTGGACAACATTTGGGAGACGGTCACTGAGTCATTCACTCTCATCCACAAACCCAATGAGAGCTGTCCAGCTTCTATTGGCAAGCCAAACAGTTGGACCAGACTTGCCTTCGTGATTGCCACTCTCGGCAAGCAAAGGCTGAAGAAGGGTCTCTCGGTTTACCAAGCCAAAGTACCTGCGAAACACAGGCGAGCAGAGTTCATTCCTTCAGGCCCCAGAGTTCATCTGGGCCGTTCTGCCTTGCAGTGTTTGCAGTGTTCCACTCAAAGCAAAACATATTCAATCAGAACCAAGCTCTATATATGAAAAACATGATCTATATATATAGTTATATATATATATTGGTTCCTTTATTGAAGCAAGGTGCACACGATCAATCAAGCTTCTAAAGATGCTGCTGTGTTTGGGGCACCGGCACTCATTCGGCCCACCCAAATCCCTTGCCCAAAATCTGTGATTTGGACCACCGAAATGTCTGAGACTGCAAAAGCTATGAACGCAGGTCGCACGGACACGACAGGCGTTCGCCGGCACTGTCTGGCCTGCGACAGGATGTAACAAAGCAGTCTAACCACGACCAAAGGCGTCATGGTACGGAAAGCCAGTGTCCTTCTCTTAGACCAAGAGTTACGACACTTAGCCATTGAAGGTTATCATCCCAGTGATTGGTTCCTTCCGAAAACTGCTCACCCTCTAAGCTGCACCCAGCCAGCCTGGCAAGGACACGATGAGGGGTAGCCAACCACTTTCCACCAGTCCACCACTGGAGAAGTTCACCTCAGGTATTGATATGTTTGCAAAGGGCACATGTCAGACAGGTGGACCCAATAGTGTGATCTGTCATTGGTGGACGCCTCGTTCATCAAGAACTCTACCGTTCGTAAACTACGGTATTTTGATAATGCTTTATATAGTTGGGACAGGCAAATGAACAAAGAAACTGCTGCCAAGACACCGAGGTTTACCACCAAAGCATGCCGCTGCGGTTGGATTGATGTCCAGCCACCATCCTATTTGAGGACACTGACCGACTAGAAAACATCTAATAGTGCCCTACAAATCATCTCTGTCTCAAGTACACACATATCCAATAGAGGCGCTTTAGATTCACAGCCACAGCTCCGAGCAGCCCAAGCATCTTCTTCAGCTCCAACAAGAAGAAACACCCCCGCTTGAAAGGTGGAACAAACAATAAAAACCAACAAACATGAATGATTAATTTCATGGGATGAATACATCATAGAAAACGCCAATGGGAACTCCTTGTCGCAAATTTCAAGTCCTGAGACTTCCGGATCTGCGAGCAAGACCTGGGACAGTGCTTACCGGCACGAGTGTGGAACATGCTCTGCCACAAAAACTAAGCTTCCTGGCAGTGACACAACCCCAATCAGTATGCTCCGGCCTGAGCCAAGTCATGTGCTTCACAAAATCAAGGGTGCATCATCCATGACGTGCTTGCTCCGGTTGCGATGTGCTGATTTGTTGTTTTCGCCGGCACGGTTGAAACAAAGGGAACAAACAAGCGGGCACCATTTTAATCCTTTTCAGTAATCAATCAGGTCTGTGGTTTCGCTGTAGACTTTGTTGGTCTCTTCGTCGGGTCGAAAGGCCAACATCTCAGATCATGGCGAACGGATCACTTCGCTTGTTTGCTCGAAGTCGGCCTAGCCGAAGCTGCAGCCCCGCGTTTGTTGATTTCCATTGATTTCTATGTCTTCACTCATTTCTATTTATTATATAGACCCCCAAATAAATAGAAAAGAACATCCCCACCTAAAAATGTTTGGACACAGTTTCTACCTATATATTCGGGGACCACTATATACAGTGATGATAACAATGTTATACTCACACCTTTGAAGTCCAGCATTTCTTTAGCAGGGACAATCAGTGATGCTCTGCCGTTTCTCTTGTGTGAATCAGTCTAAGTCTATCGTACAGTATAGTTGTTTTCATCATCAACAGTCTTTCATTCCCAAGATAGAACATATTGCAAAATGTGCTGGTTGCCGATCTTGCGTTGAGGTGCACAAAAGGATACAAAAGGGAACATATCTGCTTGGTGGACAGTGGTGTACAAGCAGCGGTTCGCACCTAAAAGGGAGGCCTGAAAACAAGCAGTGGAGAAGTGTGGGTAGATTTGTGGGGACTTCAAGAGAAGCCCATGCATCGGAGTTGTGCCATGGTCCTAAGATTTAAAGCTCACCAAGAATTCCCAATCACTGACTTATCTCTAACGCTCCATATTAATTAAACACCTTCAGGTCCACTGGCCCACATTTCTGTTGTGTTTTAGACTTCAGAGTTTCAACTTTGAATCTAAACATATCGTGCACTTCCTCCAAGGATCGTTGCTTAAGCTGCCGGCGTCATTAGTGAACCCAGCGTGTTTGACAATGTTTTGACATGGGCGGGGGTGGGGGCAGGGGGGGCAATTGCAACGTGTCTCGACCTTTGAGGTTGTTTGGGCATAATTGGGCTTGACAGGATGCGCGAGCTCACAGCTCGTGAAGTTCTTTCGTTCTGTCCGGTGGTTCTATTGCGGCTGGTTAGGACAGCTTCCGCTTGTCGCCAACTGGAATTTTGTTTCTTGGTTGACATTGACTATGTCGACTACTTGATATGTTTGGCGAACCAGAACCACTGGGCCGCTTGAGCGTTACGCGGGACACAGTTCTAGACCCAGATTGTTGGACTTTGTGCTTTGGGGTTTTGCTAGATTGTCATGTGATGTTGAAGTCCACATGGGAAAAAGCGTTTGCAGATTTGTTCCATAGAAAATCATAGAAAGTCTGCTCCACACGGCGTGATACCCACGCTCTTCGTCTTTGCGAATCGCTTCGCAAGCACGGAAAACATCGCACACGTGGAAGCAACAGCAGAAAGAATGCCTGGTATGAGTTTTGTTTTGGATGAACTCCACAAATGCTTCTCTGTCCTGAGGAATTAAGCATGATTCCAGGGATGCATCCAGATCGAGATCGAGATCGCGGACACCTTCACGTATCCCTCAGACTGCAGAGTATGATCGCATGAGTGGGGCCCTTTGCCAAAACAATTGTATGCATCGTTTTGTATGATGACATAACATTCTGACTCGCTAACATGGGGAGTTCACTTCCTGATCTTCCTGTTCGTTAAGGAAAGTACGAGTAGCCTTCCTTTCGGGGCCATGCCATCCACGCAACCATGTGATGGTGTCCGGGGCGCGCTAAGCACGGACCCGATTCCCGGACTCGTCGGCGAAGGGGACCTCTCCCCATTTTTGGAAGGCAAGCCCCTTGGTTTAAGTCCTCTGCGAAGGTAAAACAGCATACAGCAAAAACGTGACACGTAGTTTTTCCAACAAAGCCAACACATCCACATTATTCCACATTGTGCTTGAAATTCCAGGGTCCTCAACAACGCAGGCACCTTATTTAAGCACACTTGTATCTGAGTCTTTCACCTATTCATGTCCCTTCGTGGTTTACATCTATATATATATTGTTCAAACTATTGTTCAAAAGCTCCATCGGTACAATCAAGGTCTTCTATCAACATACATTTGTTCAACCGCATTCCCGCCGTCCCCTATATGATTTTGTTCCAGTGTTTGAGGTTGCTTTTGTTCAGTTTCACTCCATGGAATCAAAGTGCAGTTGGTATCGCATGTTAGGCGATCCGTCTACTCACTCTCGGAAATTGTCAACGTTTGGTTGCTTTGGGCTCAATTAAATCTTCATATTGGATCATCTTGGTCTCCACTTGCTTGAGGATTATTTACTGTCCCGGATCTTGCCCCATAGACATGGTCGAAAGATCTAAAGATTGCAGGTCCAGCCGCGCCATGAGCAGGCGTGACCTCCAAGTTCTGCCATGACACGTTTGGTACAAATCAGTCATGCAGAAGCTGAAAGGCTTCTCTTGTGGCATGTCCGTGAAACAGGAACATCACAAACTATACAACAATTGTACGAACTGATATGGACACAAGAATCCTAGAACGTCTTATTCCGTCTTATTCCCTCAATGTCTTGTACCATAGGTGACCAGTAACCAACATGCACCCTCGTCACGAAACAATCTAACACCAGCCTCAGCCAGCTCAGGGTACAGAATAGCTCGCATGGAAGACCGATGATTCTTCAATGCGCTGTCAAACGTTGTCGCCTCGCAGAGCAAGAATTCACAAAGTCAAAACGCGAATACTTGTCACTTGTCACTCTCATAATGCTTTTTTCGCCAGGTTCTTGAGTCCTTGACTGGCAAATGCATCGCCACTGCAAAGAGGCTCATCAAGCGGGCAACGAGTTTTTCGACCTCGGCCTCCATACAGCGATGGGTAGGCGGTCACATCAATCCTAATGGTCCTTTATCACATTCTTTGTCACAGCTTTTCAACTGCAGTGATTTGCTGCCTCGGCCTGCCCTTGCACAGGAACTATATATATATATGCACTTACAGGATGATTTAAGTTTAGCTTGTGTTCCCTAACTTGTGGGTCAATCCGTGCAAAACTTAAAAATATCTTTTCTTTGTTCCCCAAACAGTATGGTCACACTCGGGGTTCTTACGGTAGTAGTTAAGGCAGGGTGTTTGATCGGCGGTGCTCATCGGGGCGTTTGGCTATGTTGCTGCTATTTATGCTAGAGTCGTGCCTCTCAAAAACTTTGGTTTGCATTTTCGACTGCGCAGTCTCACAGAAACTGGTTGTCTCGTGGCTGGTGCAGTAAATCGTGACCTTTGGACATGTGGTTCTTTTTTTGGAAACGCTTTGGCATGGCTGTGCGATGTGAATCTTGATGTGCAAATATCGTATGTAGCAGGCGCGGCATTTTGTGAACCTCGAAGTACAAATCTCCTGGGAGGCGCAACATTTTGTGAATCCCGAAGGCACGAAATGTGCTCTCACACGTCTGCTCGTGACGTGCGTCACTAACTATACGGGTGAAGCCGTGCCCCCCCCCATTCAGGACACGTGACGTGTGCTCTCTTGTATATGTGCTCATCTGTGTGCTCTCATGCACGTGCTCTCATATGTCCGCTCTTACACGCTCTCTCATCTAAACATTTCTGTAATCCTTTCAGATGCCTCTGGATGTTCAAGACCTCTACTCTAGACCTCTCAATTTGTAGGCGACCTCTGGGTTTTGTAACTCTAGGCCTTTTGCCCTAGAGACCTTTAGAACTCTAGGCCTCTAGATCTTTCTGGATCTCAAGAGCCCTAGACTCCTACAGCTCTAGACCTCTCAAGTTCTAGATCTCTAGACCTTGAAACCTCCAGGCTTTTGGGCCTCTAGACCTAGAGCTGTTGACATGTCAGGATTGGTCCAGGCCCTCACGAGCTCCAGGCCTCTAGACCTCTTGATCTCTCTGGATGTAAGATCTCTCTAGATCTCTAGCCATTGAAAATTCTTAAAAACTCTCTAGACCTCTATATAGTCTATATATATATAGGTCTCTCTGGATCTCAAGACCTCTCTGAATCTCAAGACCTCTAGATCTCTAGACCTCTATCGCTAGACTAGACCTTCTGCTTCTACACCTCTAGACCTTGGACCTCTAGACCTCAATGGCAACACTGTTTAGGGTCTCTTGCCGGGATATTTTCTTGAGTCTGAAAGCGTGGACTTTCAACGAGAGATGAACGGGAGGCTCTTGGGATATCTTTTGACGCATATGATTGTGTATCTTCCAGAAACCAATGCTGCGTGCACGAGGCAATATGAGCCAACCAAAATTCAGCAGCTGGAGAATCCCAAACTGCTTTGACATCGTTCACGCTTAAGAGGCGGGCAGAACGCGCTTTTCAAGGATTCAGCTCGTTTCAGCCAAATCCCTGTCCAAGGCTGCTCTTTATATTGCTGGCGGCTATTTTGGAAGGTCCTTACATCATATCTGGACTTGCCGGTATTTGTCATAAGTATTGTACAGTCGTGTGCGGCGCGGAATGGTCATTCAAAATAACCTCCTCTCGTCAACTCCACTGTTACCGCCAAAATGCAACATACTTTTTCGCGTGGGCCCTGGGCTGGTTTACAGGTTCTGATGTTTGGACTCGGACCAATGTGTCTGAAAGCTTTGAAGATTCCTTCGAGCCCCCAGGCAACTCAAAAGGTCTGCCTACGGCGTACAGGTGTTTCGCGGAGTCTCACCTGCTCATAGTCGAATTGATCAATATACTACGAATGAGTAGAAGGGTACTGTACCAATGCTCGCAAAAGAGCTGAATTTTGACCGCGGTCCAAAACACCTCCTTTCACACAGAATCCAAGGCAACATTTTAAACGAAACTCCTGCGAGGTCCCAAAAGACTAGCTGCAAAATAGGGCTAAGCACTGAACATAGTAGGCAGTCCACACCGTCGCAAATTCCTGTCAAACGATTGCATGGATTCAGAAAGTCGTGCAGGTGCAGTTGCAAGAAGTCCAGGCGTAGTGAGAAGCTTGGCCCTGCATTGAATACTTGTCTTTGAACCCGATGTGCTTTGAGTTCTTCAACTAGGCCCTAGGCTCTCCCGCCCTCAGGCGGGGGGAGCTTCCTTGAAGAAGCTCAGGTAGGTAGTAGCTGCTTAAGCTTAATAACAATGGCCTTCAACCTAATAGCGATGGCCTCCACCCTAGTAGCGATGCTTACCAGACGCCAGCTCCTTACCCCGTACTCCTGGCTACTTGTTGGCTCCCCTTACCGCCTAACCCCAAAGAACTACTACTAGCTACACTAGCTACTCGTTTTCCTCCTCTTGCTACGGCCTACCTCCAACAAAAATGCAATACCAGTTACTACGTATACACATGAAGTTATACATTGTGCGAAACTCCAAAAATATAACGAAAACAAACAAAAAAATGCGTGAAAGCTGTCTGTGCCGTCTGTGCCTCTTGATCCAGTTGCCAAGGCATGCTGCCCCGTCCATGCACCGGGCCAAGGGACCAGGCCTGGACAAGCTGAAAACCGTCCATCGTTACATGAAACATCGCACGAGCTGAGCACAGGCCCAAGCAGGTCCATCATCACATGGCACCTCAAGTGCGGCCATGGTCTTCACATGTCTTCACTGGAAGAAACGAGGCTCCTGCATGGTCCAGCCACAGAAAGCGGCTATCAGTGCTGCTAACCATCCCCAGCCTGGAAGTTTCGTGCTGAACATGCTGTTTCTCCCCGCAAAAGTCAACAGGCTAGCATGACACGTTGGATTGCGGCGGTCGCTTGAAGAAGGCCGTGCACTCTTTGCGCAAGCCTGGGCAAGGTCAGTCAACATCTGGATAAATCACAAGAATGGAAGAGTTGGTTGCAAATGACACCAACTTGAGACAAGCCAGTCTTCCTGTCCAACGTCTGAAGACTGAATGCGGGCACATTATGCTGTACCACCAATGACAAAGATGAGCTTTTAGAGTTCTTAAGATATGAATTCCTCGTACTGTGATTGCCATTGATTACGACATTGAAAGATCTTGCGAGACTCAATCGTCAGCCCCAGCCCAAGAATGAATACTTGGGAGATTTTGACGGACATGCGTGACATTGCACGAATTTCACCTACGGGATGGAGGAACTGCTAATAAGCTAATATTGGTCGACTTTCTCCAGCGGAGCGCCAAATGTCTCAACCCGATTTTGGCCCATTGCATCATGGCCATTCAATCTGAAAGTAGACCAAAAATAGTTCGAACCCACGTTACCACAAAGAATGCTTGACATGCTGTCCAGCCACACCGAGCAAACATGTGCACATCAGTAGGCAAAACATGGCAAAACTAAAACTGGATTGACACGTAACAGCTGGATTAAGTGCACGGCTCTCCATCAGAGCATCACAAATCCCATGGTCGGTCAGAACAAAAAAGCCAACCTTGTTGAGCGGGATGGCTTGCAATCCGCCAACTTCATTGTTCTCTTTCATATTGCTATGTCTATGTTTGCACTCAAGACCAGCAAATGCAACCTATGTTGAAGTTGGACTTGACAACTGTCAGCTTGCTGGAAGAGCCTTCCCGATACTCTAGCTATCTTGCATCAACCCATTGCCTGAAGGCCTGAACAGCCAATTCAAGAGTCTACAGCTGTGAGCTGATAAAAGAGATTAAAAGAGATCTTCGCCACCAAATGCGCACTCGCAGGCTCGCCGTGGCTTGCCTCTTCACAAGCGTTCCGAAGTTCCTCGGCGAGTTCTCGCACGCAGCTCTTGCTCCACAAGTCCTCCAACTTTCCCCGAAAGAGCTGAGTGTGCAACGGAACATGCCAAAACCAGGTGGCCGACGATTTGGATTTGCAGGCGACAGAGCAGCGACGTAACTCTCACCGGCAATCTGTCCTCAAGGTTGCTGTCTGCCTCTGCCTTGCCCAGGGGCTTGATGTCACTCAGCAAAGATGTGCGCACACGAGCAAGCTATCCACCAGCATTCCACAAAATGTCAGGGAGAAGGTGTCATTGACTCAAGGACCGATGTGGAAGTACAGGTGGAAGATGGGTGGCACCTGACCTGGTGGTAGGTTGGGGTGGACAGGTCTGGGTCAAGGCCTTGGACTGTCCAAATGGTGAGTTTGCTGATAATGGCTTGGGTGGTCAGGAAGCTTGGCTTTCCTCCAGGCAGGTGGTGAGTTAGCTTGTCAAGTGGTGAAATAGCCAAGTATAGCAGAGCATAGAGTCAACTACAGTAGGTGTTGAGCTGGCGAAATGACGAGAGTGTCAAACATTTATCTACAACTAAATGTACAGAAAGCTTGTGCTACTGAAGTGGTGATGTAGGATGGTACCTTTTCTATCGAATCATGCAACTCTTTAGTGCTGAGTTGCGGCCAACTTATCACCTTGACTAGGTGCTATCTCACTGCTCAGTTGAGTATCTCAACAAAAAGCTTTTCACGGCTTCGACGCTTGTCCAATTCGGCCAACTCTCTATGGCAAAGCTTTGATCAAATAACACCGGGCAACTCACATACTCGCTAACTGCCGACCAGCTGGCCAGTTCACCGCCAACTCCCCACTTAGGTTGAATGAGCGTCTGCCAAAACGTACTGTCAATCAAAGGACGTGATTCAGCAAGGTTATCGCTTTGAGGTGGGCCTATCGCTTTTGCAGGTTTTAGCCACAATGTCAACATAGCTGAACATATCCAAAAACTGCGGAAATATGGTGATCGCTTTTGAGGGGGGCCCATCCCTTTTGCAGGTTTTTGCCCAATTCCTGAGATTCACGACGGCTCTTTACTATATAAATTAGTCATTGCACGTTTTGGTGGTTGCTCAAATGTTCTTGGTCTTGAGCTAGCGAAGTGGACAGTTGGCTGACGTCGGCTGGCGCTAAGGTGATGAAGGGAGATCAATGTCGATGCTCTAGATTTGATTCGTAAGTTTTTTGTCATGTTTTGCGTTCGTTTGAGACTTTTGCAAGATCCCCGCCGGTCCTTAGCCTGAGACAAGCCTCACGTGTTCTCAGTATGCAAATGCTTCAGGGCATCCATCACCACAACAGGACCACGTGATGATGCAACGATTGCACAAAATTGCACACAGACCACAAATCCAAAAAACGTGCAAAGCAACACTGTTGCCCTTGCACTATGCGACACAGGAATCACAAGTGGGAGTACTTACGCAAATCTTTATGCGCTTTGCACGCGCTTGCGATCTGTCTTGCGAGCGTGATGTACGCATCCCATTCTCGAGCGACCTGGTGACTCGCCCATGCGCATACACACAGACACACTAGACATTACAAGCCTCAAGTCAGCAACAATATGGTTCATCCACAGGAACCACAATGGAAGCAAACCAGAAACTTAGACAGCGCGTTCCAGCTCAAGCAGGTACGTTTCCACGAATCTTGATGAGCGTCCTTGATGGCGAGGGACTCATCAGGATTCCCTGCGCCCACTGCAAACTAGTAACAATGTTCGCTACTAGGGGCTCCTGGGAGCAAAGACGCTATTAGGGGCTCCTGGCCCTACTACTAGGTGAAAAACTTCCCAAGATACCTATGTCACTGCAGGGTGTACAAATACACTTAGATGGTTGCTCGCAAGAGCTAGGATCAGTATGAAGTCCCACTTTAGACGATTACATTACCCGATGCATTGTAGACCTTGATTGCAAACGGAAAGGTGGAGGAGTCCGCTTCAACTGTATTGTTTAACAAGGGTGAGACGGAGAAAGTTGAAAAATGCAGGTACATGAGTCAGGCGTCCCTGACTCATATCACGAGAAACGTGCAGCGTCTTCGTTGGTCGTTGACTGCACGAATCCCCAGCGACCCCTGCCTCTTTTTGACTCGCGCTGTTTTTGGTTTTCGTTTGGTTCCTAGTCCTAGTAGTAAGGCCAGAAGCAACTAGTAGCACCCAGCCCTCTATAGTGGAATCTACGGCAGACTTACCAGGTACAAACCTTGGAAACAGGTGTTAACACACACACACACAGTGCCGCAATCGGCTCTCTGTATCCCTTACGTGAAACGAAAATGGCGCAACAGTTTCGTACACATAGCGCCAATATTGGCGCTTTGGAGAGTTACTAGCCACCTAAAAAGCCTTAGAAAGACAGAAAAAGAAAACAAAACAAAAGCACACGAAGAGGGCAAGAAAGAAAGATAGGTGTAGTGACGAGGCCCACTTAGTCAAATGAAAGTAGTTAGCGAGCGGGACTTTTGTCTTAAACCGCCCGGGTAGCTAGGAGTCGGACAGGCACTTTAGACGATTACATTACCCGATGCATTGTAGACCTTGACTTGCAAACGGAAAGGTGGAGGAGTCCGCTTCAACTGTATTGTTTAACAAGGGTGAGACGGAGAAAGTTGAAAAAATGTAGGTACGTGAGTCAGGCGTCCCTGACTCATATCACGAGAAACGTGCAGCGTCTTCGTTGGTCGTTGACTGCACGAATCCCCAGCGACCCCCTGCCTCTTTTTGACTCGCGCTGTTTTTGTTTTTCGTTTGGTTCCTAGTAGTAAGGCCAGAGCAATTAGTAGCACCCAGCCCTCTAGTGGAATCTACGGCAGACTGACCAGGTACAAACCTTGGAAACGGGCGTTAACACAAACACACACACACACCATCACACACCCGCACGCCCTCCCTAGGAGGCGGATAACTGAGATAAATAACATTATATAGATGACCGTCCACATCGGATGCGCCGGGACACAAGAACTGCCTGATTAGATCATATATACTACCTGTCACTTCAGTGACCATCAGTGAGATCTGAATGGAGGGTCTGATTGGAGGATCTGAACAGGTATCAGTGCCACTTCTTAACTTCACCTTTACCACAGTGTCTGCAATAGAACCGTTTGCCATCTCCGTTCAGGAGCTCAACTAGCCATTTGCACCGCTCTTGCTGCTATACACATCACAGCGTGTGATTTACTATGCAGCCACCAAAATCGTACCGTTTCAATGATTGGAAAAAACACACTCCATGGTAGTACAAAGAACTGTTCTGGGCTCTATGAGCAAAGCGGAAGCCATGTGAAGCCGCCAAACCTTGTAGAAGCTTTTCAGGCTGATCTCTGGAACCTTAGCTCCAGAGGGCAGCGTGGCTGTCGAAGCCGCCAAAGGCAGCGTGGCTCTGACGGCAGGAGATCACTCGGATCCATGTCGGCTGGGGAACTTGTGACGTGGCACTACTCTCCAACAGGGCTTGTCAGCCCCTCCAAAAAAATATCCAAAACATTTGCAGAAACCACTAAGAGCAGTTGTGAGGAACACTCATCATACTCATCTGAAGATCTCTCGAATCCACAGTGTGGATGGATTTGCATGGAATTCCGGTCTCATGCTGGCAAGCTGCCTTCATGTCGGCATGGGCCGGCTGAAGAGCGTCTAAAGAACATGTGGAAGCTTGTCTTAGCCCCACCATACCCTGCGTTTCACCCATGTCATTTAGCAGCTAGCTGTGGACAGGTTGTCTCTCCTAGCATTAGGCAAGTAGCTGAATTCTGTGTGTCAGGTATGCCTGAATATGTCACACATTTGAGGCCCATCCTTGCTAGATTGTCTTTTGTCATAATGCTCATTATATAGCCTCTTGACAGCTATGTGCATGCACTGGCAACGTGATCGAGCTTGGTTGTCAGCGTCATCTCATGTTTGTCAACAAGGCCCTTTCATACATCCGTTGGTAGACAATCTGGTGACGAATGACTCAAGATCAGCTACTCTGCAAGGCAAAGACAATTAGAACCAAAGGTTAGTCCGATTTGGCTACAGATTAGTCTGATTGGACCGCCAATGATCATCGACAAAACGAATTCAATCTGCGCAGGTCAGGTGGCGACTGGTCGCACCTGAGTGATGGCAAAAATGCTTCTGAGCCCAGTCCTTGGTGCGGTGTGGCGACCACTGCGACCACAACTCACGATGCATCGAATTCCTCGTGTTTTGGGACGTTTTTTGAGCCGGAGCACGCCGTTTGCACAGATGGAGATGTCAGCTGAGCCTAGCAGAACTCGGCTTGTAGCATTTGGCAAAAAATGCCGTGGAGTGCTTCCACTTTGATGCAGCATGGCTAAGGGTCACTTCGACTCAGAAACCGTGGCGCCTGAGCGAGTGCGGTCCTCGGAGACAGCAAGCCGAAGAGAACGAAGACATAGTTGCTACTTGAAGAGCAAGAAGAGAATAAGTAGCAACATATGTTCCAGTCATGTCCAAGAAACGTTTGATTGGAGAAATCATGAGAAATCTGTATGTACATAACCGTTGTAACACTTCAAAAAGCCTGACAGTGCAAGGTCGCACGTGAGCGAAGGCGACCTGTCGCATGTTTCGACCATTCGTGTGTTCGCTCACCTATATAATCCTATATATATATTGATGGGCTAACCTCTGTGGCTCGACCAATGAAATCATTCTCGGCTGCCGTGCAGAATACCCATGGCAAACAAAGATCCGATGCACTTCCTGCCGAAATTCAACCACATTTCTCAATCACATTCAACCCACATAGAATCTGCCAGAACTTTATGCCCTGTGAAATAGACACATGGTCACCTGGTGCTTTTAGCGCTCTTTCATTGCTTCAGTTGTTCATCTGCTTTGAAGGAGAAGTGGGACAACATGACATGTTAGTAACAGCAAAAGCCTCGCTCAGTCGTGGGCTTTCAAGCAGGCCAGGGGCAGTAGACTGGGCAATCCCTACAAGTATGTTATTGCCTTCATGCCCAAAAACAGATCCAAACAGAAGCATGTTACCAACAGATCAAAACAGCAACCCATTCCACCCAATTCGCCGTGGGCGGAATCTGCCTTTCTTATTTTATGGACTTATTGATGGTGCCCTGAGCAGCCCGACTTCTCCACATCGTTGAGCCTCGATCTTAGGATCCGCCAGCCTGGCGCAGAGCACTTTCTTTTCAAGATCCGGTTTCATCCTTTTCGTTTCATCTACAACAGTCCATAACGACTCCCTCTGGATCGGCACTCCCGCGCAAAAACATTAAAAACAAAACACCCCAGTTGCCTGTCACATCTTTCAGAATTTAATTTCTGCGCAACATCTGTTAGAAGAGCTGATCAGCTCCAACAGCTTCAGCATGCAACTTTTTTCACCGGCAGGCAATGTCTCTCAGTGTTCATCGCCTGGAGCCATGTAATTTTTCGCAACTGAGGTTCCGAAACAAATTGGAACTGGTAACATGTCATCGACATCAAAGTTCAAGCACTTAAAGTTCAAGCACTTGCATTATTCCGCACTTGCTGCGTGTCAGCACAAAGCGTGTCTGAAACTCAGATCCGCAAACATCCAACTATAAGCTCTCCACCCGTGCGAAGCCGCTTGGCCTGGGCTCGTCAGGTCCATATGGTCCATCAGTCCCGGAAAGCCTGTGGATGATCGGAGTGCCTGCTCCGTTCACGACCAGTTTTCCGTGCCCTACTAGTAGCAAGGGCGCTAGTAGGTTGGAGGCCATCGCTATTAGTATTTAGGGCATCGCTGTTAGTAGCAAGAACGCTCCAAGTAGCTAAGTGCATCGCTACTAGGAACAAGGACGCTACTAGGGGCTCCTGGCCTTACTACTAGGAGCAAGGACGCTACTAGTAACACGACGCGCCACGACGTCTTCGCCCAACGGCCCAACGGCCCAACGGCACCACCCACCGACCGGTCGCCTCAGGTCCCTCAGGTTCGTCCTGGAGATGCAAACATATTGTAGCTTCTTGCTCCCTAGTAGCACGGCCAGAAACCCCTAGTAGCGCCCTTGCTCCTAGTAGCAAGGCCAGGAGCCCCTAG